GACAACCTTTGCGTCGTCGGATGTTGTCACCGCCGCATGAGAAGATGAAATTGGATCCGTCGCCGCCTCCGTCGTTGTCTATATTGTCGGTACCAAATGAAGTGGCTCTGGAGTACCTGTCTCTGGTCTCGAGATCGGACCATGCGGCCTTGTGTGCCGTCTCCAGGAGTTATCGGTCTCTAGTGGGTTCGCCTCATCTCTACGAGATCCGATCTCTGATGGGTCGCACCGAGACATACGTCTATGTATGCATAAGAGCCCCTCCTCCGGGCCCAAGCCCACGGTGGTATATCCTCCGCCGCAGAGAAACCTCCTCCGATCTGATTCCGATCCCTTCGCTCCCCTCCCAGGCTCAGGAGTCATCCTCCGTGGTGGTGGTGGATTGGGGGATCTATGTAATCGGTGGATTGACAAAGGGGAAGGCCACCTCCGATGTGTTTCTCTTGGATTGTAGGACGCACAAGTGGCGTCAAGTCCCTTCCATGAGATTGGCTCGAGCTAACGCTGCTGCTGGAGTCGTGGACGGGAAGATTTACGTGTTAGGAGGCTGCAAGTTCGACTCGGGGGAGCTATTTGATCCAAAGACTCAAACTTGGGATTCTTTGAAACCGTTTCCGGAGGAGCTTGAGCTCCATGGTCGGTATATCCATGACAGCTTTGTGCGTGATCAAAAGGTTTACGCAGTGTGTGGAAAAATTGATGGTACTGATACAACATTTTACTACTCGCCGAGAGAAGATAATTGGGGAAGAGGGAATAGTCGTAGCTCGTTAGGAAACGCAAGGGATTGGTGTAGGGTTGGTGATTTGCTCTACTCTATTAGTAGAGACGGCACTATTTATTGGTGTGAGCCAGAGGAGTTGGATTGGCGTGAACCAGAGGGGATGGTAACTAAAGAGGTCAAGGGTTTGGACTCTCTCAAGAAGAGTCTCTCTTGTTCCAGACTCATCTTCTTTGATCACCAGAATGTGCATCTCTGGGAACAGTTTAGGAAAGTCTACAATGGTACTTTTAGGATCCCGGAGGTGATGGATTTACTTCCCGGGGCCAGACTCACCACCTTTGGCCCCAACATGTTACTCTTCTGGAGCGTACTCGTGGGAGATCGTCTTCAGATTTCCTGTGCGGAGATCTCCTTGGAGAGGCAAGGCCAAGGAGACGAGGTTCGGGGAAATATCGAGTCGACTAGTGTTGTCCTCACCGTTGATCCTTTCGACTACGGCTACAAGGTTTTGTATTCGGCTTCGGTCCTTGTTTAACTATCTATTTATCAATCTTGTTGTAACATTAAATACCTTGTTCCAGCTTCTCTTCTGCTACTTGTAATTGAATACTTTTGTTATTTGCCCAAGAGTGTCGATGGTTTTTTTTACTTTCACATGGTTTCTGTATATTTCACAAGGCTAAAGAGAGTAACTTTGTCTTGTTTACCTGTGACAGTAGATGAAAAGAAGCCATCTTCATTTTTATGTTAGCAATACTAAGGGAACAGATTTATGCTCGCCACCACAAAGACCAAACTCTCTGTATGCATATATGCTTGTGTTCTAGATACAAAATGAAACCGAAACACCTAGTATTTGAGAGTGAGCATTTTCTTGCCTCGAGTGTATTGTTTGTTGTGGTGTCTAGAAGTCTCCAGCGCTTGTCTCTGGACTTGTTTCCGCCTGTTCCTGGACCAAGTCTTGACCGAGCAACACCTGCGCGCCTTCTTCTGATTCTGCATCTCTGCTCTTCATTGTTGTCCTCTTTTAGCTACTGGGATCCAGACTCAACCAAGGACTGTTTGGAGAAACCCTGCCTAGTTCTTTGCCAGAATCAGACATCTGTTGAAGCTATTTCTACCGCAGAGCTTTTGTTATCCTGCAGACGGCAAAAAGTCATGCATCATCATCACTAACTTCTCACCTCTACTAATAAAAAGACAGCTGAGTAATTGATTTACCTTGTCCTGTTGAGCAGCTGAGATCGTTTGTCAGAAAAAGAACCTCATGGGTCTCCGTTTGAAGGGTAACATGTAATCTGTCCATGCTCAGGGGCCGGAACAATAAGGGATGCATTTGAAGACCTGGAAAATAACACGGACCAAAAAGATGGAAGGTTAAGTGGAGGCAAATCAGGGAATAGTCTCACTACACTTGTGTTGTTACGAGCACGATATGGCCGTGTAGCTATCTGTGCTTTTGAGGCACCAGGTGCTGTACCAGATGTGGTGGTGTTACAGATGAATGAAAGAAGGTGCAAGCTTCCGCATGCATGTCAGGAATTTTAGATCCTTTAACAGTACATGTTTGTTCTGACTCATTGGGGAACATCCTTTGCCTTGTCGAATTGACACCATCCAGCTTATACGATTTGTCAAATTGCCAGTGGCAATGAACTTGTGATAGGAAGATAATAAGATACATATCATTTTTTAGTAACCAGTCTCTGTCCGTCTTAAACATGCAGTACTGTATTGATTTGCATAACTATGTTTGGTTAGAGCTACACCGTGTATAGCTAGAGCGAACAATGCAATGCTTTTATGACAAATGAGTTTGTAGATAATTGCATGGTTGCTAAATTGCATGCTTGATATTTTTGGAATTTTTACCCAAATTACACGAACATTATCCGAAATAATGTTAGCAAAAAAAAAAACAAAACATTATCTGAAATATTCAATTCATAGTGTTTTTGGAATTTAGTTTTATATAATTAATTTTAACTCGAATTATCCGAAAATCTCTTTTTAAAAAAAGCTTGTAAAATTTATACATAATTCAACTGGTTATTTTTATCCAAATATATCCAAAATATCTGAATTTACCAAAAACTATTTTTTGTATCTAAACTGTATGAACATATCAACCTTAAATCAAAGTATGTTAAGGTTAATTTAT